CTGTTTGTGGTAGGGGAAATAAATCGATCGGGAAAGACGATATCACGGAGAGACGTTCGATTGATGGTTGAAAGAACTCTGATTTATTCTGGAAATGGTCACGCATTATATAGCGCACATAAAAGGTGTCGCCAAAACAATACATTGCGTTGACCAGGTGTCAAGGATTAATTAAATCAATTAACAGGATTACAATAATTAAGATCAAACATTAATAGAGAATAAAGTAAGTATGAACGTAAACATAAACATACAGAGTGACGCTGTCCGCCCGACGGGAAAAATAAACAAAAACAGTTTCCCACATTTCTCCGGGCGGCCAAAAGTAATCAAACGATATCGAAATAAACTAGTTCTAAATAGCATACTTGGCGAATTAAATTCTGATCAAATAATTATTAAGTAAACACATTCAAAAATAATCAAGAAGGTAAACTATAATTATAAGCAAACACTAAAAGCTCAATACACAAATTGTTTCTAATTTAAAATTATAACAAAGATAAAAACGATGTGAGTTAATAATGTTCGTATAGATTCACGATGCAATAAGATCATCGTGCGAGATCTTGAATTCGTAGTCTCGCGATAGTAGCAGCAGTTCTACGCGGGCGCGATGCTATGTTATTAGCGCCATGCTGTGGCGATGTTCCGACATCGGCGATATTTTCCGGGCCGGCGAGCAAGTCGACATGTTGTTCTGGTTCGGCGGTTGATAATTCTAGCGAATATAGTTTCGAAATAGGGCGACTAGTTCTGCCTGATTTAAGACGAACGTCCGCTGATCTAACTAATCTGTCGTTACCAAAGTTGAGCTTTTCCACAACAGCAAGACTTTTCCAAAATTGTTGGATGAAGGCCTTGGCGTGGATATGAACCGGTGACAGAAACCCTAAAGTATCATATACTTGACGTGTACCGTACGATTTCACGCTTAGTTACAGTGTTGCCAAGGTGACGTTTATTGCTGATATTGTCCGAGTAGTGCAAAGTATCATGGCAAGTATTCCATCGTAATCCGAGTACGTTGACTAGCGTTGATTTGTCAGCAGAGTTGTCGTTATTCAATAAATTACGAAGTGTTGTGTTGTTTGTTGCCCATGATCGTAGATTAAAACCGGCGTTCTTCATTATTTCTTTGGAGTCGCGGTAGTACTTTATCGCTTCTTTCTGATTTTCAGTTCCGGTCAATACGTTGTTGATGTAAATATTGTTCTTTAGATCGTTGACTATTTGCGATGACTGTGCTTCGAAGGGTGTTTTAATAACCGCATTCAACATGAATGGCGAACTAGTTGAACCAAATAAAACTGATTTAAACTGGTAAACTTCGAAGTCGCTTTCAGGATCATCGGCGTTTTGTAGCCAGAAGAACATCGTATATTGGCGATCTTCATCGGCAAGGTTGACATTTAAAAACGCTTTTTCAATGTCACTAGTCAGTCCAATTTGATGTGTCCGGAAACGAAGCAATATCGTTGGTGATAGCAGGACCGGATTCTAAACAGTCATTGAGGCTGGGTTGATCGCGGTATTTAGCGCTACAGTTGTAAACTACTCTAACTGGAGTTGTTGACGACTGTTTTTCAACGGGGTGATGCGGGATAAAATGGCCACGTGAGATATCCTCATCAATTACCTTTTCAATAAATCCTCGGCGTAGTTGCTCTGTTATGACTGAATTGTAGACTTTCCGTAATTCGGGTTTAAGACGTTTTACCATTGCTCTTGTTCTGTTTTTCGCCAGTACATAATTTGTAGGTAGAATGTCACAATTTTCTTTCCATGGTAGGCCGGCTGTGTATTTATTACCATCTCGTTGAATTTTTGTGTCCTGATACTCTTCAAACGTTGTGGATTTCAACTTAGAATCTTCGTTGGCAGTTATTCCCATTGTCTCTAAGTCCCAGTACTGTGATATGATGAATTGTTCATGGTCAGTGTCAGCTAATGCTTTCATTATAGTTGTGTTCATTGTGGTCACGTTGTTTAAGTGAGAAGGACCAGATAGCAAGTAACCAAATTTAGAGGATACCGCTGTGGGTCCCGCACCTCGAACGACGTGATCTTCAACAATTTGCCAATAATGGTCAGCTCCGAGAAGTAGGTCAATGTCAAAACAACCAGATTCGACTAAGGGCGCGATTTTCAGTTTTTGCAGATATTTATGCCGTTGTAGTGTTGGTGCCACGACATTCTGTATTGGTGAACTGATCTTGGGTACTATTAAACATTGTAGTGCAATGTTACCAGAGTTGGTTTTTAGTGTTATCTCAGTTCTTTTGATAGCGCGTACATATGATTTGTCACGTCCAAAGGCGCCAAGTGTGATGTGTTCTATGCTGCAATCTTCGCTGTTAATCTGAAGTTTGCGAGCAAGGTCTTCTGTGATGAAGGTTCGTTGTGCGCCTTCGTCGAGCAGTATATTTGCGGTTGTACTTGCGTTACTTGTAGATACAGTCGCTGTAGTTGCTTTAAGCAGAACTGGTCCGGAGGTTGGAGTCAATTTTACGTGTGTTACGTCTTCTTTTGTTGACTTGACTACCCGTTCACTAGCTTTGGGGTGACTGGTCGTTGGCGAACCGCAAATCGATGTGTGGTGTTTCTTACTGCATATTCGACATGAAAATTTACTCCAACATTCATTACTGCGATGATTTGGTCCGAAACAATTGAGACAGAGTTTGTTTCGGAAGACGATGTCCTTACGTTGTTGAGGATCAGTAACTGTTGTACACTTGTTGGGTGTGTGATTTTCCTTACAAAATACGCAGGCTGGTCTTCGTCTTGGCTTCGCATTGATGTGAAAATTTGATGCGCTGGAAAGCGGTGTATCTTCACAGGTGTTGAACTGTTCAAACGTGTTGGCGGCTTGGTTCGCATGAATTTCTCGCTGGATGGATTCTCTAAGTTCTTGTATTGTCCATGCCTTATTACCATGGTCCCTAGATATCTGTGTTTTCAAATTTGTTGGCAATTTTTCGAACACTATCGGCACAAGTAGATCACCGTAATTTTCCTCAGATTTCTCTAGTGATTTAAGACCGCGTATATGCTTTTTGAGCGAGTCATAAAAGGACCGGATACTGTCAGTATTGTTACGTGGGCTTGGTAGGTTCAAAGGGGCGCTCATATGGCATGATACAATTTTATGATTTTGACCATACCTGGATTCCAATAGCTGGAGGGCTTCTTTGTAGTTCGCGTTGGTGAGTTGAAGACCGTCAATGGCACGATGAGCTTCATCGACGAGTTGGCTTTTCAAGTATTGAAATTTTTGCACGTCTCAAGCGATGGGTTCTTGTCAACAGCGGCGTTGAAAGCCTCGTAAAATGTCGTCCATTTCAAGAAATCTCCGTCGAATTTCGGTAGTTCGAGCTTGGGAAGATTTACTTGACGATGTATTGACGACGATGGTGAATTTGACGATGTTTCTGTGGCGGCAGTTGGATTTGATTGAGACGATATCTTCTCTGCTTTGTTCAAAACCCGCTGGTATCGAGTGAGGCGGAGTTTTACTTGAATATAGTAATCGTCGTCTTCAGTGAATAGTCTTTCGTAGTTTTCTTCTTCGACGAGATCAAGTATTTGTTCGTCTAGGTCACGTACCAGTTTGATTCGTTCTTTAATGTATTCGATGGTTGACTGAAGCACTTCGATGTCGGTTTCGATGTATCGTCCGCTTTCTGTAACTGTCTGGTTAGCTGCGCCATGGAGGTAAAAAGAGAAGGAGTCACAGCCAAGCTAAGATCAAAGGTACCAGGATGGTCGCCGCTGTTTGTACATAGATCAGGGAGTTTATTTGCCGAACGGATCAAGGAGGACAGTTTCCTCTTAGCGCAGTGAGGATTACCGTGAATTAGCATACTACAAACGCCTTCGCCAGCACTCGGTGATTTTCGTGACAATTCTGTCAAATTCGTATAAACAAATATGGCGACGATCGATAACGCGCACGAGTTTGACTACGTCCTTCAATTCAGAAGACGTAAAAGAAATCGAAGAGCATATTACAGACGAAAAAATTGTTTCAATATGCTGTGAACGAAACGATTGCTCGAAAACAAAAAATGCAGCAAATTTCTTGTTGACGCACTGCCGTAGGAAGTAGGACATACAAGGGAT